AACCGGCGTCACGACCGGTTCCTATCGATCGCTTTCAGCACTCGTATCATTCAAGGAAAAATTTGCCAAGTGATAATAGGACAGACCTCGACACCTGACAAGAGTATGGACTACAACCGTACAACTTTCGGCTGATCCGCAGTCACTATTGCCGCACTATTATAGGAACGCTAAAACGACGTAATGAGTTTCATAGGGGAAATAGCAACACGTGGGCGGAAGACCGTTGGGATCGACGTGTCCATCACAACAGTGAAAACTAATGCAATTTCGACGCACTCTTGAATTTTTCATCGTTGTCACGCGCCACGAAATGATGAGCTCAGTTACATAACCGGTACACACTCCATCTGTTTCATATCTCTTCGAGAGCAACCCTATACTCCCTTCTTCCTCCTCGCCACCAGAACTGTCACCATCCTCACAGTCGTGGGCAACCGACGTCCATTGAAGCATCCATCAGTGCTACAATGCGGCACAGATCCCACAAGCAAGCGGATACAGGTCGAAGGCTGCTTTTCTCACTGCTGGGAGGCTCTTGGGCGATGTAGTGAGTCGATGAGGTGCTCACGAGTTCGGATTGGACGAGATTGAAAACTATATGGACTTCATGATGGACTATAGGCACCTCTGATGTGTCTGGGCCTCGTCAATTCATGATACTTTGGAAAAAGGGAGCGAGCACTTCCAGAGCTTCCGACCTTTCGTCCTTCAGTGCTCCTCTGAGCGGAAACGTAGTGGGTCTAGGGTCGAAGTTGACGATAGGGACTCAGAAATTGTAGAAGATCACCCTTCATCACCAACAGTAGGACATGCCACCGTAGCTCTTTGAGAGGGTCCTTAGTTCGGTCACCGAGGATGAAGCTGATTTTATCAGTCTAGATGTTGAGCTGTATGAAGTGCATGTCAATAGTGCTTGACAAGTTCGCTCTGCTACGATGCCTATCCAGCCCTTACTCGGGCCTAAGGTCTTTCATCTAGTTCGACCAGTGGTTGTGGCCCGCCGGTGGTCTTCCGTAGCGCCCCAAGTCGCCTCAGCTGAGAAGGCATCGGGCGAGCTGCTCTTAGGAGTGTCCATGGGCAAGCTATTTGTCGGGTAGACCATCATGTCGATGCATACTGCTTACCTGCGGTACAGATACGCAGTGCTTGACTTCGCCACCGTTGGTCCAGTCAAGTTCGGCCTTATCGATGTGAGAGATTTCACCGATGTAAACAAGAGCTGCGAGGTTGGACACAGTAGTGGGAAGGTCGTAGGTCCATCAGCGAGCCGATCAAGTGACTTCAGCTCTACGAGCAGTGAAGGAGGAAAGGGAAGCTGAAGTGAAACGCGCCATTGTGATCAACTAGTAGTGTTAGTATGTGTAGTTTCCCGAGACTACTGTACAATGGCACATCGGCTATCAAGAGCACCTGCATGGCTTTCCACACAAGCGGGGGGCAACACAACGGAAGTATCTGGACGGCTTGAAACTGCATGGTGGGCGACGCCGGGATAGGTCTAGGCTTCATGAGCTGAGCTCACTGAAGTTGAGTTTCACCCATTTTAGGTGTAGTGGTGTAGTACTTTGTGAAAAACGCGATATTCGCGATATACATTAGTCACGAAATACATTATTCACTAGTGTTTTCCTACCACGGATGAAACTCCATGGTCGAATTTTTCACACGACTCGGAGTAAGAG